AGATATCTCAACCTTTGTTTACCTCGTTTTCCTCCGTACCCAACCCTTTCTCTTTACCCCTTTTCCAACTCGCAACATTCCCTCGGACAACTTGTTCGTCACCAAGTTGCCCGGTGAGTAGTTTACCACAAAATAGATTGCAGACTCCGAAGCCTCGTCAGTCAATGAATCTGGGGGCTTTCAACGTAGGAACTCTGATGCAGGTAGGTCAACAAGCGTGTCTGGCGCGTACAATGGACTCTTTGGAGATTGATGTCTGCTGCGTATGGGAGACGCGAATCAAGGATCCTAGAAGCCACGTGTGCGCACCCGGATTGTCTTCTAGGTTCTTCCTCCGCATGTCAGGTGATGACGAAGCTCGTTACGTAGGCCAGTATGGTGTGGCATCGTACTCAACAATATAGCCGAAGCCGCACTACTCGATTGGATCCCCTCAACTGTCGCTTATGTGCGATGAAGCTCCAATGGTCTATCAGTGTCCGGAAGGGAAGCAACACCAACAGGTGTTTGTTCATTGTATCAGCATATGCACCGACCAACTGCAGCTCCGAAGCACAAAAGGACGAGTTTTGTGATAAACTCATCGAAACTATTCGGTTGAGCCGAAGTTCCGATGTCGTTAGTTCTCTCAGGTGATTTTAACGCTCAGGTTGGAAAACTGAGCACAGCTTGCCTAGGCGGTCATTGTGCTCTGCCCTGCCAGCGAACAGAAAATGGCGATCGACTTCTTCAGTTCTGCGCAGATCATCATCTGTTCCTTTCCAGCACCAACTTCCGACACAGCTCTCAACGGACAGCAAAGTGGCGCTTAAATTCAACTGGCACACTAACTCAGATCGACCACATAGCAGTAAGCTACCATTGGCGTGGTCCAGTACAAAACTGCAGGTCCTATTGGACCACCTGCGTTGAATCTGATCATGCGTTAGCTTTGATGTAGTTCACTCTCCAACTCAATTGTCGAAGAAAATCCTACGAAACTCGATTGACAGATCATCGCTAATCTGATCCAGCCGTTCGTGCCCATTTTGAATGAGAACCAGGGCAAAAGCAAACGCGCTGCGGGGTGATAGTGTAGATAAACTACGGGATCACATTAGCCGAGCAATGCCCTTCGCAGCGAACGTTGCTTGTGGATCTGAAGCGGTAATCTGACCGAGAAATCGGACATCTGATGAGTCAGTAGCACTGATGGAGAAAAAGCGGCAAATCCCAACCACCCGGGATCAAGGCAGGGTTAGGTGGTGTGTACAATGTCAACTCACGAGGAGCCTCAAGAGAGACCGTGAGAACTGGTGGGCAACGATAGTTAGTAAAATGGAAGTAACAACTGCATCAAGGAATAGTCAGAAACTATTCCAATTGATACGCAATACAGCAGGTCGGCGAAGCACAGTTAGTGAAACAATCTGCGACAGAAATGAAAAGCTATTCACAATAGGAAACAATGGTTTGATCGGTGGGCGGAGTACTTCAAAGAACAGTTCAGCTGGCCAGCCGGTGTAGCTGAGGCTTCGTGGGCAGTGTCATCTGAACCTCCTACTGCAGCAGAAGTTCGTTCTTGCATCCAAGCGCTGAAGAAAAGAAAAGCAGCAGGGCCGGACGAGCTTCCTCCCACTCTTTTTTAGATGGAGGGCGATGACCTCGTAGACGCCATTACTGATACAAGGCGAAACATCTAGTCGCACGAGTGCATTTTATCACCCCGGGGCGAATCACTGATCGTTCTGAACAGGCCGCGATAGTATCGAACAAATCTTCACCCTGCGTCAAGTCCTCGAGCTACGCCATACGCACCGTCGGCCAACGGTTGTCGTGTTCCTTGACCCAAAAAGAGCCTTCGACTCAGCTGATCATGTGTTCGCTCCTTCGCAAAGTAACGCCGCAGAAGTATGTGAATATACTGAGTTCACTCTACTCACATACTTCTGGTAGCGTAAGGATCTACGGCGAGCTGATTAGGTCGTTCATTACTAGCAGCGGTGTTCGTCAAGGTTTCCCTCTTTCACCGTTCCTGTTCAATCTCGTCATAGACGAAATACTGGAGAACGCACTAAGTGGTCTCCAAAATGTAGGTATTGAATAGGCAGCTGGGGAAAAGCTGTCGGATTTGGAATACGCTGACGACATCGTTAGCCTGTCAGAATCTATGGAAGATACACAAAGAGCACTTGACTGATTAGCAAGTTCTGTCGCTCCGTTCGGCATGTGCCTTGCACCTTCAAAGTGCAAAGTACAAGACTGCGTGTCAACGAGTTCTGTTCTGAAACTAGACGGTCAGGAATTAGCTATAGTTGACTGCTTCTCGTACTTAGGTAGCTGCGTGACCAACAACGATAGCGCATCGGAGATAACTGCCCATATCTCCAAGGCTCGAGCAGCTTACACAGGACTGGAACACCTGTGGCGAGGATGGGATGTTTCGTTGAAAAATCGCGTATACTGAGTCACTGTACCATCAGTTCTGCTTTACAGTTGTGAGACCTTGAATTTGCGATTAGAAGACGTCCGTCGCCTAGTGGTTTCCGATATTCAATGCTTACGTGGTCTGGCCCAAGTAGGATGGAGTGAGCGGGTTAGTAACATAGAAGTAAGTCGTCGAGTGTTTGGGAATGCATCAAACACAAACTCGCGATCGCATCGAATTCAGCTCAATGGGCTGTGTTGGTTAGGACATCTTGCGTATGTCCGACGGTCGCGTACCGCAGCGCGCCTTATTCGCAGTGGCTGTTGCAGGCTGGAGAAAGCCGCGTGAAGGCCAGCAAATGACGTGGAAGCGGGGTGAGGTTCAAAAGACTAAGAAACCGTAAGGCTGGAGACACTGAAGGCCATGGCTGTGAACCGACAGCAATGGCGATCATGCTGTTACTCTTTATCAGACCGGAATGCTTGAAATAATATGAATGCACTCTGTTTGTTGACCATAGAGGTTCGCTTTCTTTTCCTGTCCCTAAAATTAAGTCTAATCCCCACCCTCCCCACACTTCAGCACTTACCTTGTATGCAATTTGAGTTTGGCAGCGATCAGTGAAGTTCACTTCATCGTATTACGCTGTACGATACTGGTGTCTGTTGCCCACACACCACAAGACGATAGATAGTGCTTTGTGGGATTAAAGTGACCAGCCGGCAGGCCACACCTAAAACCAATTGACTAGCTACGGAACATGCTTGTCAGCCAGTCACACAAGGATTCCATGGTTTACCGATGAGATAATAACCGACTTTGGCGAAAGTGACCAAACAGCAATTTCAGATGTCGCCAAAAGTATATCAAGATGCACGGAGGCGTAAAGCAGTTTCACACGACTTCGAGTAGTTATTACAGGGACCGATGTGAAAGCGAATCGCATACTTCCAATAGCCGCTTTTCTTGTAATCTGTATAATCTAAATTAGACTAGATATGATTTCGCTAGATAGCACAGAAAATGAAAGAGATTGTGTACATTTGCACAATGTGATTCACTGTGGAACATCATTTTAGAGATGAATTCGTACATATGCAAAGAGAAACAATGACATCCGACTGAATTTCGTGAGAAGCCTGTACAACGCATCAAAAACGTTCCGCTCAGTTTTCTATCATATATTCTTTGACTTCACCACGCAGATCGAAAACGTAGTTTCTTGTGAATTACATCCACGGTTCCTAGTCGAAATTGTCTCCGGGGAAGGGACATGCATTTGTTCTCTTCCGTTTCTGGTGACGATAATTAAGAAATCATCAACGTATGCCGAAAGGCAGTGATGAATGGATGCGCTAGTTCGTGCGATCTTAATGGCGAGCGAGCTGTTCGGATCCAGCCCAGATAATCAGCCACACGCGATCGGATTAGCAAATATGCGTCGCCGGGTGCGGGTGTTCTTTATTAGCAAAATAGACCTCATAAACTGCCACAATTGAATAAATTAACCTGTGACGAAATTCCGGTATTTTAATCAACCTTTGGTTGCTAAAGGCCCATTTGAATTGGTCCACAAGAAAATTTTTATGTGCACAATTATTCATGTGTATGTCTTATCCCAAACGGTATGCTGCACACTTAAAACAAGAGACGATAAAAACGTTAACCGTAACCTTAAATGCAACTCTCTCTCAATGTTGTCGACCTGCACAGCCGAAGTTCAAACCTGATCTGATACGTGTAAATTACACAGGCTAGACTAGCATTGATGGTCTCGCCCAGATTTATCAAGCAGCTATCCAACAGCTACATTCGTGAATAGACTAGAAACAATCCAGTGAATTACAGATATTAAGAAACCTATTCTTTCTGCTTTCTGATAAAGAGTCTCACTACGACCTAAAACAGAGCTTAGAGTTTTCAAAATTTATTCACAGTGACCATTCGCAATAAACACATACACCGGCTCGCTCTCTCCATCGGAACGGTGTATACCGTCGTTGCAGATTGTGGAATGATACCAGTGCCTACCTAACAGAATAAGTAGTGATGCCATATCAGGTAGACATGCTGGTACAAGCTCCGGAAATACTAACTTAGGCCCTTTAGAACAGTGTGGTTGCGGTAGATCGTGATACATCAGCGGATGACGACAACAACAAAATCATACGGTTAGAATTGAGTGTTGTATGCACCGGCCACCACCAGCCAATGAAGATGAGAACACAAGTTCGAAAAAGGCATCGACGGTAGGAAAGCAAAATACTATACACAGGATAGAGATACGGGGAGTAAATGAGTAGCGCATAGAACGACAAACAGGAAGTTCCTGGAAATGATGAGGTTCTAGCAGCACATGCGAAGCGACGGAGGAGGAATGCCATGAACGTCCGTGACGAGTGGATGACTGGATTGACAATGCGCAATTCAGGGACGAAACGTCCACACAATGGATACTCACGGAACGGTCGGGAACTTGAGCATGGAAACTGCATACACGCGAATGAAAGAACTCGGTTTGCCGTTGCACTAGAACAAGAATACGACTATGTCACGCAATGGATGGATGGATGTCCTCATGAGAGTGGTTGGATCATGTCGGTGGATCGGCCGAGGATTCAGTGGGTTGTTCGCTAGGGCCCTGAGCATCGTGGTCTATTGAATTTGATGGTTCTGAATCACGTGGACCAACAGAGGGTGGATTAGTCTCTAATTCAGCTATAAACTGGTAAAACTCATTCAAATTAGAGGGTTCAAAGATACTCCGAGTAACAGATCCTGACGGTTTAGATTTGGTCTCCGTCTTGGGAGATAAAGAATCCTGTGCGGCTTCCCCAACTTCCGATCGGCCGCGATTATCCGCCCCGCCGGAGTAGCTGCAACATGGCTCGTCAGATAAAACTGGAACACATGTAGTGGAGGTTTTTGTAGTTGATGATTGTCGTGGAGCATTCGAAGAAACAATCGTAGCAACGGAAGATGTTGGTCCACTGTGACTGCTGGATGGCAACTCAAAGGTGTTTGCTGAATCTAAAACCGGTGGGTTGTTCAGCTCGTTGTCTTCGTCCGAAATCAGAATTGGTGACGCGCTGCTATTTAACTGCACAGTTTGAGCTGGTCGTCTAACCATACGCAATCGAGGGTAATAACGCGAACGCGGTGATAGACCGGGATGTCTTCGTTTTGCGTGTTTGTCGTGTTTTTCATTATGGTGATGGTGATGCTTTGAACCAGAACGCTTGTGGTACTTAGATCGACGTCCCTGTTTTCTGTGCTTGCGACAGCCGTGGCAATGGTGTCGATGACAATGACAGCGCCGGTGACGACGACGATGATGATGTCTGGACGAGTCAGTGCTACTGTCACGCCTCGGTCGACGTTCTGTAGGAATTGGTACCGGTGGTGAACAACTGCGCTCCCGAGGTCGAGATTGTGACGATGAAGATGAGCTGGACCGAGAACTTGAAGTTGAGGAAGAAGACGAACTGCATGAACTAGAATCACTGTACACATGGATGGATTCCCGTAGTAATTCACAGTCACTTTCACTGCTCTCCAGTACGATCGGACTACGGCTACGAGTGTGGTCGTGATAACGTCGACGACGAGGGTGATAGTAATGCAATGATCGAGGACTATGAGGAGTAATCCAGTGACCACCGTGTGACTTGACAAACGCCAATCGGGGCCGAAGAGAGAAATGCACGAGTGAAGGTTCCACAGAGCGCGACAGTTTTGGTGCATGGGGATATGATCCAGAATCGGGCGGGTCTGACTGCATCGAGGACGATGGACGTTTGGTACCGGATGGCACAGAGCAATTCTCAGATGATTCCGGGGCAGCAACAAGATCTTCTGGTTTTTCATCTACATCCATTGGCTCTTCCTGTCCATGCACATTCGTAATTAGCTGAGACATGAATGAGGACGTATAAGACGGTAGCGGAGGGCCCACCTGGGAATCGAGAGACAGACGTGAGGTATTATCTTGTACGGTCAACAAGTCAGTTGAATCAGCGGGTCCAGAGGGAATGGAAATGTTGGTGGGGCTAACCGTCTCGGGTTTTGTTTGTCTCAAACTAGAATTTGCACCATGGTCACTCTCATCGTCTGTGATTGCGTACAGAGGGTCACTTGGATTTGGAACAATGCTCCGTCGGGCCGGAACAGTTTCATCGTCGGATGAAGCCGGAGATGAGTCAGAGGAGATAATTACACAGGGATCGTTTGGGGCACGCCAATACAAATCGGTGGCTACCGGTGACAAACTGGTTTCCAGCTGAAACGATCCAGTGTCGAGATTATCCAACCCAAGAATATCTGGTGCATTGAGTGGAGAAGAAACATTGGTCTCAGTTTGCTGCTGTCCCGATCCCGTTTGTTGTGCTTGATCTGGTCGTAGGACGTGATCCTCGCCAGAGCCTTGTTCTATGTGTATTGGAGAATCTGATAGATTCGATACCGTTCGGTTGGAGAGATCCAACACTCCGGACTCGGGAACTGCAGTCGACTGAGACGATCCATTGACAGATGTTCGTGAGAATAAGGTGGGACGAAACAGAAAATGCCAGTCGGAATGCAACAATCGGTTGGACTCGCTTCCGGAGTTTGTTCCAGGGGATCTAGGTTGCACGGAAGATCTGGATAAACTACGGTTGGAATGTGAATCTTGGTTAGGAGTATTCACAGTCAAATCAATCACCTGGGATGGAGTACTGAGAGGAGTTACTGGTGGGACGGTCATGGGCATCAGTGGGGTGTGAATCAGCTCACTGATTACATCCTCATCACGTTCTGCGCGCAGTCCAGAAGGCACACGAGCGGTGAACAACAACAACAGTCCACTAAGACGTCGTAATGCTTGACTATGTTTATCCAATGCAGGTCTGAGATGATCAATACCAGATCGGTTGGTCACGGGAGACGAGGGAGGTGTATTCGCGTTTTCTGTGGACAGTTCGGAAATCAAATCGCCGAAAAGACCCAGCACCAAATTCATTCTCGATGAGGCCCTGGAGCGCAATTCCGAAATTGTTGTGCTAGCCGAATTGGCTCGTGAGTTTCTTTGGTCTAATGAAGTGACTCCTTCGGTACGGTACGAGCTAAAGTAGCTGGCTAACGCGTCGCTAAATCGAGCCTGATCAATTAACTCACTCAATATGCGCTGATAGACGAGGCGATTAGGATAAAGTTCAGCGCTGGTCATGTTCCCCTCATTGGTTGAATCATTTCCATTTGTGACAACCACTCTACGACGACCGGACATTTGGATTGCCTCCGACTGAAATGACGTAGATCGGAATCGAATGATTGTGGGAACTGCCTCAAGCAATGCTCGTGAAAGACTGGACAAACGAGAACAGTGTGGATGACACGGAGTACGCGAGTATTGAAAGACCAATGGTTCTGGAACAATGAGAGGATATTCACCGGTGCCAGGTAATGCAGATGGGTGTGTCGCTCCGGACACGGAATGAACAAACAACCGTTGAAGCAGCCAGTTGATGAGCGGATGCGTGATTAGCCCCTGTGGCTCGGCGAACCCCGGTCGTAATCGAGGCCAACAAGCGGAGCCCATGTACACGGCCAGTCGAGGATCCCGTCGTGTTGTGCGGGTCGCGGGATATAATGTTGTGGTTGAGGACGGTTCAGTTAACCCGCTATTGCTGGAATAGGGGGAGTGACGTCTATAGAGACAGACCGCGTAGTCATATTGTTCCAATGTTCCGCTGTAACGGGCAAACTGAATCACTTCGGAACAGAAATGTGTGAGATAGATGGCAGGGACAAGGGGAGGACAAAGAGCAGGAAAAGAGATGAGCAACTGGTGTAAAGCATCCGCGTTAGTCATAGGGACAGAAGTAAAATGATTCACAACTCGTTCGGTTATCATATCCAATTCGGGTGTGTCGGCTAACAGACCGGGGGCGCCACAAATCAGTGGAGCCGTAACAGCAGACCCGGCTTGCGGTTCGTCAGGAGTTATCGGTGCAGTGTTGGACTCGTTCGCATTCGACGTCGTAGAGGTCGAGGAGCTCGAAGAACGGTAGGCTAACCACGGAGCCAAGACGCGAAGATCACGACGAACAAAACTTTGTAAACGTTGACGTTGTGCTTCGTTGGTGGCGAGAAAATTTGGGGTGATGTCACGTTCCAACACCGGTCTGGATGAGAGTGGATGAACGTAAATAGATACAGATAGGATTAATAGCAATGCGAACAGTGCCGTCAATTTGAAGAGAGAGAAAGCTAGAAAACGAATAATCCGTTGTTAAATAGTCAAAATGCGACAATTGATTAAAGCGGACTGAAAGTTGAATAATCATGCAGGAGAAGTCTGAAAGTGGCAAAGACAGATCTATTTTTTGGTACTTATCATTAGGCCAATACGGTACACACAATAGAACATGTATAGACAGACTACATAGCGTGATAACCCGTAGCGCAAGTACTCATACAGTTATTGTGATGATTGATGTTGATAACTGTGTCCGGATGGACCAGTCAAGGATGAGTGAAACTGGTGTCAGTTAGTGACCCATGTCGAGTGCGTGGGCTAGGAGGGCACTAGTCGCAATTTTATTGATCCCTTTTGATAGCCAAGCTGGACAGTGTTCTTGAATCCTCTCTGACAATCGCCTAGTGGTCCTTCCTACGTATTCTGCTCTACAGGGGCACGAATAAGAGTACACACAAAATGAGGTAGACTGACTAGGCAATTTGTCTTTCAGTTGTAACTGTAGCATAGGCTTCGTAGTAAAGGAAAGACAGAGTTTAGCAGCAAAGTAAGTTCTTTCAATGGCGTGGGATAGTCGACGAGTTAGCGTTTCGGCTAGCATACCCCCCTTGAAATCAATTGTTGCATAGACCCTTTTCTTAGGGACCGTGAAATGACAGGGCTGAGAATCAGTCGCAGTGTGCCTTTTGAAGCTTTCTCGATAGCCGTTTTCCTTTAACGTGTTGCCTATCAAAAGCAGTTCATCTGGAACCTTGTTGGTGGAGCAGATTTGTCTGGCTCTATGGATCAGACAAAGCACCAAATTTTGTTTCTGTTGCATTGGTACGAAGCTCTGAAAATGCGTGTATTGCCCGTTTCACGTAGGCTTGTGATACACACTTCTCTCGATTCCCCCGTCGTTTCTGGATGCTCTTCTACAAAGAAAAATCGATGGAGAGGAATCGAGAGAGGTGCGTATCACAAGCCTACGTGGAACGGGTAATACACGCCTTTGCAGAGTGAAAGCCCCGACTGTACAATTCCTGATAAAACAGTCCAACTCTGTTTAAAGTAAACCTCCCATCAGCGAATGACGGATTAACTTGTATCTTATAAACATTCTAAACTGGTTGGATCATCATCATCACCGTACAGCAAAATATAGTGAAGCGAACTTCACCCGCAATGCATACAAGATTAGGGGTAGTAGTTAAGGTGGACAGGGATTGGACCTACTTTGGATGAAAAATCAGAGATGGAGACGGGCGAATACACAATCAGTGGCGCTAAAAGACAACTTACTCTTGGGCGACAGGGACCGATTCAAAACCGAAAATGTAGACCAGTTGCCGAAGCAAAAGTCCGTCCAAGAGGGATGAATTTCGTCTGCGCAACGCATTGTTCACTAAGTTGGTCAAAAACGAGCGTGAACTTTCGACCAGCGGCCTGATAATTTCGATCGATGCCAAAGGTAAGGAAAAAAAATCAAATGAAAAGCGATACAAAGTTGCATTTTAGTTGTGATTAATTAGGGTTGTTCGGTTTTGTAACAGCTCCCCTCTTCCCCCCGTGGAGGGAGACATTCTAGGAGAAAATCAAGTGAGCAGTCATATCGATTCCGTTTGGTTTTGGTTTACGGTACGAAGTTGTAAGACGTCATCATCGTATCGATGAGACGTTTGGTTTTGGAAGAAGTTGGAGACAATAGACAGCCGGATTAAATACATTTCGCGCACAGTAACCCAGATAAGTAGTCGGAGTTTAGACAGGAGAACGTTGTGTTACCACCCGCTGCCTTGTGGATGAGGCTCCGGTTGTGAATCCCCCCCTCAGGAAAATTTATCTGTTTTGGCTTGGGCAACTTGGCAATATTATACCAACTGGCAAATGATGAACCCTTGTCTTTGTTATCAAGGTTATTGCACTGTGACTTGTTTGGCGCACAGTCTTTACTCAGGTGTGCGCGAAATACCACTGCATAACATAGACAGGGCTGGTACACTATCGTTTTAGTTTATATCAGAACCATTGAAACGAGACGTTCCATACAATGAAAAACTAGCAGAGCGTCACTGGGTGCGCACAGTTAATTTAAGCAAGCCAGTCTTTCCGCCCTCATACAGAGTAGGTCGTTTGTAATCCAGCTGTAACGGTTAATACAGTTGATTGTTTTTCGTCTCATTGATCAAAGTTTTCACGCTTCAAAAATCGTGAACTAGTCCCTTCTACCTATTCCATCATCATTTTACTCGCCAAATACTACCCGCCGAGGAGGATCATCCGCAAACATAGACAGTACAGGTCCGAACCATTTCGACCTGTAAAACACGGGCAAGGAAGTGAGAATCGCTTGGAGTTAAATTTGTGTCAGAACCCCAAAAGATACTATTGTGCAGGATAGCAGACCGTAATCTGCAACTGCACCCGGGACAAACCCGACTTAAATCAATGGATTTCGAAATGGTCATTTCAAACTTTGGGTCCCTTAATTTGTCGATGCAGTGAATGCCTCGCGACCAACCTGAGTGGTACAGACCGAACAAGTTAGCGATCAAGCAGCTGACGCTGATGTGCACCAAGCTCCAAAGTCCACGATTGAAATCTTTCCACCCTAACTCAGGTTTGGTCCAGATCAATACCAAACCTATATCGTAATCGTGCAGCAATGGAGCAATTAAAAACCAGTCTCTTATAGCCAGTAGGTGGGAAGGTTTTCGACCTACGTAGAAACGTGGGATCCAATGCTGAAATTAGACAAATGCGATGATCTTACAAAGTTTGCAAAGATAGGCTGTACTGAAAACGTGGAACACTGATCGGTTACCTGGTGCTCAACAGTTCCGCTGTCGTTTGGCTGAATACCACGGCTAACCTCGTGGTTCACCATTTTAAATCCAGGGGCTGTGTTGGCCGGTTTCTATGACTGAACAACTGGTCATCGTGATTATAAGTGTGGCCCCCTAACGCAAAGGTCTCCATGTCATAAAAGGATAGTGGTGTGCTTGCGTCCTACCTGTGAGGTCCTGGAAGATGAATTTGCACTGCGGATAAGACTCATCAAGGCAAAAACAGTTGTACGGTGATTTCCGGCTTTGCATTTCACATTATTGGCTGTTTACGAAGAAATTCATCAAGCAAAACTTGGAGGCCGGAGAGGCATCGGTGTTATTTCGAGTATTGAAACGATAAAATCCGAAAGGGAAAACTAACCCGAATTCCGGATTCCAACGAAAATTCGGTCGCGGTTGATCGGTTCCAGTAGATCGCGACATTGAGCCGACAGAATGCATGGTGGCGGATGGAAGGAACAACGACGTGACTGAGGCTTCGTCACGACCCATTCCATCCCAGTAGTCTATCAGTCGAACTGGAGGTGGATTTAAATGATAGTGATAGTGATGATGGGATTGACGCTGAGGAACAGAAGACGAACCACGCTGTGTATGCACGTCGTCAGCGGCCGCAGCTGCAGCAGCTGTGGCGGCGTGCGCAAATAGAATTTCTTCCTCCAGATCAAACGAAGCGGGCAATCGGGCCACACGACGAGAATTTCTTTGCGCTTGTAAATCGGACACGAGTAACTCGGTGAACTCTGTGTCGGAGAGGACGGAGTGAATTACACGTTGTGCTAAACGCTTGCACAAAGGACAAGACGGATTGATAGTCAGCCAACGATGAATACAATCGAAACAAAATGTGTGCATGCATGGAAGCACCACACTGCGATTGGATTTTTCGCACAAACATATAACACAATCATCTTCCCCATCCGAAGCGGAGCCAGGAGGACGACGTGCAGCAACCAGGGCGGCGTGGAGATCAGCTGTGTCTGCAGCACTTCTGCTTCGCCGCATGGCAGCACTCGATTGTGCAGGAGTACGAGCAACCGTTTCCTCCTGAGCTGCGAGGGGGGTCGGGTTTAGACGGGAACTGATCAGAGTCCGACGAGTCAACGATCCGGGTCGATTGGCTCGAGGTGGCTGGGTCAAGGTACGTCCGAGACGAAGTCGAATAGTACTCACTGGTGGTTGCTGCATACCGACGATTTGGACCGAATCATTCAACGAATGAGGAGGAGTGGCTGTACGATTTGTGGTACGTGAGCTCCGACGTCGACCTGACCGTGTCGTAACCGGATTCGAACTGATTGGCAAAGCGCAGCGGACAGGGCCAGAAGAAGCAGCTGAGTTATCAGAATTTCCAGTGTCCACGGTGTCGACAGATCGTAACCGAGAACTGATCGGTGCTCGTCGACTGCGAGTATTTCCAGGACCGTTGGAGATCTAGTGCGATTTGAGAGGAATGAAACTTTGTAACAGAGTTTGGCAAACCGAGGGAACAAGATTGTTACAAATAAAAGAAATGGTGGTTCATGAAACGTACAAATCGATAAATATATCTATGCTGCAACCAGCTTGAACTTCCACAAACAAGGAATGAGGCAGGAGTTGAGTGATTGANCTGAACTGGATGCTGAAAATCATTCTAGCTAATGTGTCCTGAAAGTTTACGGTTATATTTACGATTCTGACGAAACCCAGTGTGTAGGAGCATGCGAAACCCGCTGCACGTGACTGCAGTGGCAATCGGTGGGTACGGGGAAAATGCAGTGCTGACAGACGGAAAGTGATTAATAGGAACCGATATGAGCGCTTTGTAATCTCTACGAATGCTAGTTCAAAACTGACCGGTAGAATTTTATGAATAAAATATCGAAAAACCGACCACACCTTATTACAGAAACCATTAACTGTTTAATTCTATTCAATGCAACTATTATCCTCAAGCCATCGTGTAACGTTTCAGTTGCCATCTTCCATATACCTACTTGGTAGGTGAATGAGGAAGGAACAAATGGGTGAGTAAAAAGACTACCTAGATGAATAAATGAATAAAACAAGGAAAATAAATCTACTCAGACAGTGAAAGATGCACCAGTGCTAGAATCTGTGAGACGCAGCCACATTATCCAGTATCCCTCCCTAACCATTAATTGGCTGATCACGGAGTCTTCAACCAGGAAGCCATCCACTGTTTGCATCCGCAAACATCGCACACCAAGGGAGCCCAACGGGTCACATATGTAGCAGATCACCAAACACCACCACCTACGGAAATAAAGTGCTGGCATAAGTGTCCATGATCGTATCTACCCTAAAAGTCTACGACTAACCTCGGCTTTGTTCGCCCTATTACCCTACCAAACGAGTGCAATGTGGCGTCAACAACTGTGTTCGAAAGCTAACGTTCTTCCGTATCACTCATGTTTCCGCACCGGACCGGATCTAGGAGGATCTAGGCAGGTTCGTTGTCGTTTGACCCAATGTCACACCTATCCTTGGCGGTGGTCGGGGACACTTCATGCGATTTGCCAAGACCAGTGAAAGCGTTTAGTTTACAGTCATCATGTGTGCACAGCACGTGTCCGTGACTACCTTGGTTCATCGCTTTTACTGTTTATCACATTAGCGTGTAATAAAAAAACCCGGATCATGGGTGAAACTGAACAAGACCCGCTGCAATTCAACCGAGAAACAAAGACCGACTAAACAAACGCGCAAGCAATGCGTATCTGTAATGTGCAAAAATGGAGACAAAGAACGGGGAAAAGCACCTGAATGGAGACTGGCACAGTGCGACCACGTGAACGTGGGGACTTGTGAGAAACGCTAACTGATTCGGATGTCACGCCAATTGTTGCTTGGTCCTGGGAGTCAGTGGAAGAGGAGGACATAGACGAGGATGACGTAGACGAAGACGTCGACAACGAGGAACCAGACGAACAATCGGACAGGTAGGAAATTCCGATAGGCGGTGGTGGTCCATCCGCCCCGAAAGCGCAGGACGAGTTCGTGTTCTCACCCGTGGCTCGAATCGGACGAGCACGACGAGTGGAAGTCCCACGACGCAGCGCCACAACAGTGCCGGCGTTTGTGGTCGCTGAGGAAGCAGTGTGACGGCGTCCGCGATGCATGGGGCGAACCAAGCCGGAGGATAAACTAGTTGCAAACGGTCCAATCCGACGGACTGAGCGGCGATGACTGCCGAATCTGAAACAATTTATCGATTCGGTTAACAAACTGAAAGCCAATCATTGAAATCAAACGGTGAGCAAACCAGACAAAAAAACAACAGGCAACAGACACACTGATTGCGCGGTTGATGTGAAGCACTTCAATAGTATCTGTGAAATTGTATATATGTATATATATATATATATATATCGTGGAGAATAGTAGCAAGTCTGAGAACAAAAAACGCGCAGCGGCACAATGTTTGATGTCGGGAACTAGAGAGATAGAGAAGAGAACAAAGCGAAACCCTAACGACGAAACGGAGAAAAAATACATAATAAAGTAGAATAGAACAGAAAAACAAAAGACAATATAGAGAGAGAGGGAGAAAACAGTGTTAATTTGCTGTAGTAATATGAGTTTGAGAGGAACAGTCCATGTACAACGAACAGATAGTGGGAACATGATGTTGCAGTAGTACAGCGCACGTCTCCCCAACACCGCTTCGGGGTCCGCCGATTCGAGTTGAACGTCGCCTGGCCGACGAGGAGACTGATGGACTAGTCGACAGGTAGCATGAGTGAGAATTCTGATTTGAGACCCCCCAAGGGTCGGCATGTNCGGCATGTATGGGCCAAATAACGGATCGCAACGTTCGGAGGGGCGGGGGAAGGCGATATGGATAAAGGGAATAAATGCTCCCAAAATGCTGCCGGACTATACATTTTGATGGTCCGATAGTCATTTGATGACGGAACTTCAGTGACTATCTGCGACAGGGCTGAGGGGGTGGGAAGATTCATAAACGTGCAGATAGGTTAGAGAATGAAGTAAAAAGAGATCGAATCACATGCCTGGAAAGCACAGTTGTCATACGACTATTATCTGGCTATGAGTGCCGAATGAGAAACAAGGGCGGTCAGGTCGAACGATGATGATGATGGTGATGCGTGGGCATAACAAAAAGGATGACATGTATAGATGCACACTAACACACACAATTGTGCCTTGTGCAAGCAGATCAATAGTTTTCCGCCCAGGGGTTTTCTTCCAGGAACGCATGTACAACTTCCTTCATGCTCAGATTTGGTATGAGCTGATTTTCTGTCAATGGTTGGCGTGTAAGCGGGTCAAAGTGGCCCACTTTACGCAAGTGTGCAATGATAGAACGTTTGTCATACGTGATCCCGCTCGGGGTAATGACCGGGTCAAGCATGAGCTCGAAACTGATACGACCGCAGAGGTATTCGGGCACTTCGCGTTTCTGACGACGTTCATCCACCTGAAGTGAGGTCGGAAAATGGAGAAAACGAAAATGACAGGTGGAACGAATAAAAGAAGAAACCATCATTATAACATTGCATAATATTCACAGTGCAAACAGATGTGGTAATACGAAACTGAGCAAACACTGTACAAATGCGAAAAATGTTTAATTTTTGTTCTGAATGAAATATTGACAATTGGGACAACTGCTATGTATCCTGAAGTTTGTGTATGAACGGTATAATATGGTGACCACATAGGTCTCTAATTCACGTGACCACTACGGCTGTTCTGAGTGAGTATTCATATTAATCGTCCCCCCCCCTCCCCAAAATACAACGGATGCTGATTGCTCCCTACGAGTGGAACAATCATGATAATATTCTTAGAAATGACGGTAGGGTGTATGGTTTAGCGGAGAAATTGCTCAACAATCAGGCACCAAGCGTACAATTGGTTGTTTGTTGCGGACGGACTAACCGTCAACTTCGTCATTCACATCTACCGCTTACTTTGTACGAAAATCTTTCAAACCACAACCTCTTAGAGCGCTACCATGCTACAATCTTGTTCGCGAAGATCAGAAGGATTAGGTTTTAAATTGTGCGCCTGAAAGTCGTTTTACATTCCCATTCAACAAATAGGGTGCCTGTATTGCGTATCAGTGTGTATGTGCCTCCCCTATTATTAGCAGAGAACTATTCAACAAGGACCTCAAAATCATCTCAAGATGCTCCTGTGTTTCTTCAGATCTGTAACCGTATCCCTGGTGACAGCATACTGTAGTCCAACACTCGAAAGCCTTCTCACGCTTTCACTTATTTGACTTTCTTTATCCCCTCGTGCTGATCCCAGTTGACGTCTTCGATCCTTATTTTCCCGTTTGCGTTATGGGTGTACACAATGCGGTTTATATGCGTTCGGTAGCTGCTGAGTTGTATTTGATCTTAGCACAAAAGTATACCCTATAGATTTTTCCTATTGGAATATTAGTGTCTTTTTGCGTCAATACAGAAAGAACAAAGATGTCGCAAGATGTTAACATTTCGTTTAGGATTCTCAGTCGCTGACTTAAAACGAACAGACACATACAGAACATGGAATTAATCAACTATGGTGAACCAACGTGTACAAGCATACAAAGAATACTAAACATAGAAGTAGAATGTCAACTCCACGGTAAGTGGATTGACTGTGGCAAATATTTTGTGCGCATAAGGTCGAATGATGCAATCGGATGAGCAGCGCTCCTCTAATTGCCAAAAGTTTAGCATTGCGATTGCGTAATCGTGGTTCGAAAGACGAACGGGGGTCAACTGTGTGTGTTGTTGTCATGAGGTGATTCGCGACAGATGACCCTGGATTTATTGTGATTACCTGACCATCAGTTATCGGTTGCGTCATCGAGTTCACCAAACATTTTGGAATATGTTCGGCCATCCGCTGAGAGCTGACGGTTTGTTCTGCTCATGTATGCGTCACCGCAACTGACGGTGAACTGTGTGTGCGACGGAACCGGTTTACTTTTCTCCAAATTAATTCCACAAGTGAAGGCAAGGAGTCTGAGTTGAGCAGCTAGGAATGTGCAGTCTAGAGCTGACCTCAACATATGGCGCACATCATTGTAAATGTGGTCATCTTTGAACGCAAGCTTGATTTAGTCAGCGAATGAGGAGAGTAAACGAATTGTTAACATCTTCTTTCTGTATTGAAGAAATGGATAAGGGGAACTCAATGCTTCATATGTCCTTTTTGCCAATTCTTCCGTACCATTTGGTTCCTTGCTGGATAGTTGCTGTTAAATATTCACCCACTGAGATGCATAGTGATTATTTAACATGACATGTCTCGCTGCGCACAACCGATTGTTGTCTGGAAGCCAATTTAGCATCATAAGCCTTTTCTTTTATTCATTTTACTTCCTTCTATTGATTACATACTTATACAATTTTCAGGAAGGGGGAAGCGGCCAATCAAAGGGCCGCCACACAACAGAGTCGTGAAAGTCAGGCGGTGGTGGAATTCGAACACACGTCTTCCGAGGTGATAATTTGATGACGTTACCATCGGACCATAATTTTATTCCTCTCACCGTGATCTACGTTCACTTAGCAAGCTAAAAGCACGCGCTGGCCTCGTGATCCATTAATAGACGCGAGAGTAAGTAATGCGATGGGATGACACCCAGGTGATGGGCCTGAGATATCTAATGCGAGCTTTTTGGAGGAGATGCACATTGATGACCAAGCGTACGTGCTCAACACATCAACAAAAGTTAGAGATGCAACCTCAAAATAGATATGCTCTAAATCGAGTGATCGGTATTCATAGGCATCTCCGATCTTTGCGCGACCAAGCACGATCGGATAAATACTGAAACAGTGAGACACGTTTTGCTACATGCCTGGTCATATCTCAATCGACGGACAGGTTACCGATGAGGTTGATAATGCATGCGGATCACTGTCAAATTGAATCTGTCGCGAAGATAAACATTTTTAAGCAGATCAGCAATCTCCGACTGATTTTTATTTATTTCAACCAATGATGAAATGTGTCATTTGTCAACCGGCCCCAAATGAATTGTGATTTTCAAACGCCGTCTCGTTGTCCTGTGGGTCAGGCTTTGGCCAGTCCAAGGCTCTGATTGCGAATACCCCAAAGAAAAGTCACCTGATTTCACTTGGGTAACCTGATAGTATCCCGCGAATCATGGATTTTTTCATCGCCATAAAGATTATGGCTTTGTGATTTGTTTGGCACACAATCCGGACGCAGCCGCGTGTACAAAAATACCTCTGGAGTGCTTGCCACCATGAGCGGAGGTAGATTCAAGAAACCCAAATGAGCGGACTAAATAGCATTTGAATGAGACAAGGAACGTTTATAACGAGAACCTGGCATCTAATCGAACACTTGGGGGTCAAGGTTTTGAAAAGATTTCTGCATAAATCAATTCATCCAAAAATTATTTGAACAACCTATGGTGAACAACCAAGGAATTAGACCCTAACGAGAAGCAACCATACTCAGGCTTTGTGCCTTCGAATCTGCATGGAATAAATCAAAGCACTTGAAATTTTTATTTTCTGTCCGATAATTTGTTGATGAATATGTTAGAATTTGTGAATTAGAATCTTTCAAAACCATCCGAAATTATCATCTTTAGTATCGATTTAGCATATGAAGCATCCCTTGTGAAACTGTTTCTGTCTGTCAGATATGGATGGTTCGTTTAATCAATTTCAATCACATAATGACACGTTCAAGTTGTCCAGATTGGTGACGATTGAGAAAGTATTGGGGAAAATTAGTCTATGATGGAACCGCGGTCTGTGCCAACCTGGTTCAAATGGTTGGGATCAACAATAGCACGATGTATCCCGTCTTTTCGCAAGAACAACGCAACGAGGAAGTTAGCACGTGATAAAAATCAACTGCGACAAAATATGATGACTAGCTGATCCGAAGTGTCAAGAAATTTTTTACATGTAACAACTGAGTCAGTTGCGAATTAAGGATAAGAATGATTTCTGTCAGTTTAAAGCAATGCAGCCTGCAGAACGAACCGGAACTCATGAAGGAGTACATAACGCTATGACTATATTTGGCCATAGTTCTATGGTTTTCCACTTTCTTTTAGGCGTTTTGTTTGTAACGACCACCAAACCTATTGTACCGAGACCATTGAAAGAGATTTTCCATGATAACTAGCCATAACTGTAAGACTAAAACCAGCCATTGCAACACACGTGACAGTTTGGAATAACATATAATCCATCCGTGAACGAGGTTCCAATCAATGACACCTTAGACAGAGGTATGAATTATGTGCGTGGATCGCACTTGTTTTTCTGTGGATAGCTTGAAGCATTCTTAGTGAAAGAAATGATGCCCTATTTAGTAACTTACGTCAGGTATTCATATTCTGCGATTTTTCATCGTCAAAAAACTGTTTACACATTTATATTGTGAAAACCAACACGCGATAAGTTCGGTTCAAATTCTTTCCTAAGTATTCACTTCCGGCATACTTCGCCGTCGGACACCTTTGGGAGAGACTAATGTCCGCGAGCAGGCCGGATTTCAACCTGGTCGCGGGTTTATGAATAGAAAGTTTACGCTGTATGAAGTCTTCCAGTTGCATCACACGGACCATCGAGCAACAATAGCAGTGTTCCTTTACCTGAAAGGAGCTCGTGACTTAGTCGACCGCGAGGCGCATTTTGCTCCCATTATTCGAAAAGGAGTACCCCAAGAGTGTATCAACTTAACGACCTCATTGTACTTCCAACCGTACAGGTCGAGTGAGGTTTCATAGCGAACTAAGTAGGTCATTCGACGCAAGCAGGCGTGTTCATCAAGGGTGCCCGAGTTCACCAGTTTCGTAGATGAAATACTAGAGAATGCTCTTAGTGGTCTCCAAAATGTTGGCATTCAATAGGCGACTGGAGTAAAGTTGTTGAGCCCTCGGTACGCCGGTTGAAAACTCATTGTGGTACATATGCAAGACGAAAAGGGACTGGTATAGATAAAAACAGTGAGAGCAATCGAAAATGAAAAGAATGCAAAACGTGAGACTTGGGTCAACAAGCGCACAAGCCAAAGGCAGAATGAGCTTGGTAACCTTTGTCGATAACTGTGGGGTGTAACCCGACTGCTGTTCATCACATGTGTGTCTGTGATAAAAACAAACGCGAGTGAACAGTTTTTAACGAATAACGATCACTAACCTGTGCAAACAGATGATTTAATTCGGAAATACGTTGCTGAGATGCAGCAGTGATTTGGGATAACTGGGCCTGAATTTCGGTCGGTAGATCAACCGGTTCGGTTGAACCCAATTCCCGATCAACTGCATGCACCTGGACGCACGAGCTCGAGGCACAACTCGTACGTGTAAACGATGTGTCCGTTGCCGCGTTACCCACGTTAGCTACCACAGTAAGACCGCCCTCCCTTACGACATCGTCGTCAGCAGTCGTTGCGGTTGCGGTTGGGGTTACGGATAAAGTTTCCGAACAGGGTACGGAGGAAAGATTGTCGGCCGGATGAAGGGGATCATCGGGCAACACGACAGGCAATAACGGATCTGTTTCCAACTGTGCTTGTACATCAAGTTGGGGACATGCTGGTGACTGGATGCAACCGCGTGTCAAAGTTGAGCCTCCTTGAGTAGCCTGAATAAGTGCTTGCTTTTGGCGTTCCGCATCTTGCAAGATCAGGTTGTTTAAGTAAGTCTGTTGATAAGGAGAAAAACGAAAAACAAAGACATCTGGTCTAATTCTACTGTGCAAACCCCAAATAAGTAACTGAGTTCCGTGATTTTTGTTACTAGGAAGCAAACATTACCGGATGTAATCATACAGGGAAAACAATCATGTAGAGCAATGCTGTGAACCGGACAACGATAGTGACCAGTGAACAATGATCAGAGTGGATAAATGGTGCTACGACTGCCTATTAGGAGTAACAGATGATTCATGGGCAACATCGAAGGTTACGGACCCGGACTGCCGTACAGAGAAATTCGCATACTACTTGATTCTAAGGGTTTTTTCTACTGAGAACTTTTAGGAAATTACAAAAGTTCTGGCAGGAATGGTGCGAAGTGATGTTTGTGATATGGTCGACCCCCCCCCCCCCCNTAATGAGTAAACAGTACCAAGTGGTTCATCCTCCAGTGGTATTTGGGAAAGAATTTATCGCCTTACTAGTATGTTTAGATAAAAATGCAAAACACAACTTAAACGCATTATGCGCATTGCTCAACCAACCAAAAGCTGAAAAAGCGCAAACCATGGGCAAACGGAGAACAGTTGACCAAAACAATTCGGCTTTTATGCAAGAGAAACTGAAGAACGAGGAAAACCACCGACCTGTAGTGCAATCTCTTCTTGGCGTCGCTTCTCGTCTTCCGCCTCGAAACGTTTCCGTTTGGCCAACCGGATCACGGAAGTAATATCATCCCCGAAATTTCTATGTTGCTCCAAGGCCAAATTGTGTGCGTGAAGTAATTTGGCCAGGGCCTCTTCCCACTGACCCAATCCGAGATGTGCCTGGCCGGCGAAGAAGTACGCTTTCAAATTGCTTTCGTCCAACTCGATAGAACGGCTAAGTGGTGGTGGTGAACACAGATATAGGAAGGGCGTTTAAATAATCAGGGTAACACAGAGCGTACAGGACGTAACAAACGGTTCACATTATTCTCTTCCTGTGTCGAAACACGTAGGTTTTTGTTACAAGAATCTAAATACATCACAATCCTAGTTCTCGTTGGGTATCAATAAAAAACGAGCAAAGTAATAAGTAACTAGGAGAAACAACTCAAACAATGGGAGGATGACTGAATGACAACTCCGGAACCCACGTCGAAGCAAATTGTTCTATCGGTAAGTTTATTATCATTCATTTCCGATTGCAACATGGTGAGTAGATTAGTTCTATTTGTGACAGGCAACTTCATTCTCTTGTGAGGTGATGTGGATTGGTTGCAGTATCAGGAAGGCGTAGAGACTCGGGGGAAATCCGGGCGGTCATGACAAAACGAGTCAGGCTACAATTCACTAGGTCATCAGAATGCAGAGCGTTCTCAATGAGCAACCAGTGCTGACAACTGCTATCAAGTGGGGTCCTAGCTTTTAAGCTAGCGCGTTTTTTAATATGGTTAAACCTGTCGGTAAAGTTAGCTTATCGCAGTCCAACTATAGCTGTACTACCCATCGAAGCGCATAAACAGCTGATCTCATCTTAGCTCCGTCGGATCCCATGGGGTGGCCCAGTACGCTTGACAGTCCTTCATGTAATCCCATTGTTTGTGGCTCATGGCGATGTGATTTATTCAGGGTCTGACTAGAGGTTAATGAACATTGAGTGGAATAGTGGCAAGTTGAACGTCTCGGATTCTTACAGACGAGTCCTTAATCTGCTGGAAACAAAATAAAATGCACAGTATTCGTTCACGATCTGTTTCTTCCCTCCCGATTTTATCAATGTGCATGTTGAGACAGAAGTAGCTGTGATTTGGAGTAGCCAGTCAGTCAAGGACTCTACCGGATAGATCTGACATTCGAGTTATCTACCACAGAAGCTAAGTTACAGCGGGCAGTTTAAAACCTCAATTTTCAAAACCAGTGGTGACCAGTGATATCGATTAACACCATCAAGCAAATAGTATCCGCGCAATAGTGGACACGAGATCGAAAAGCAACAAGACTGCGTGCGACAGATTATAAAATGGATCAAACCCAAGCCGATTTGTGCACTCACCGACAATCTGGAAGTGCTTTTGCATAGTCCTGCATTTGTACATAACATAAGGCTCGATTAGAGTAGTAGGACGAGATATCGGGTTGTTTTAGTATGGCTTCGGTGTAGTACTGAGCGGCCTCACGATACCGAGCGGCGGCGAACATTCCGTTGCCGATATCTTTCAGTGTACTGTGAGGAAGATGACTAATGTCTATATTGTCCATTCCCTAGTGTAGAACCATACAAAATGAAAGTGACTGTCGATAAGAAACCTGAAAAAGAAAACCACAAACGTTAAAAAGTTTCAGCCTACCAATTTGATTTTTTGTAGTGTAATAAACGGTCTCCTAAGGATCGAAGCTAGGCTCAACCTCGTAAGATAGAAATCAGGAAAACGAGCATCAAATTCACTATTCATTTGATTTGATTGTTTCTAGATAAATTCGCCAGGGATACCTTGATCCATTTTTTCGTGACGAGGATTTCGTGAGAAAAGCAACGGCAAGGTTCCCAAATTTAAGTATTTAACAGTGAGACTGCATCTTGAGATATTGATGTATTGGTTTGGGCGCTTTTATGATTCAGTGGATTTTCTCTCAGTTGTAAAACCGATAGCACAAGAAAAGTAAAGGAGTAGACAAAGCTCGATCGGGTAAGAATCAGCTGAGTGGGGACCCGCGGGACGTTCTTTTGACCACTTACGTTCGGTTCTGCAGAGATCACTTCAGTAAATAGATACCGCAGTTTATTCGTTACTTCCTTGTCCTCTAGATGCATGCAGGTAAAGACTACCTGAGGTTTCTTCCTTCTGGTCAAAGAAATCATTGCACTTCATAAAACAGTAACTGCCACCAAAACTTTAAAGCTACCAGACATCTTTGTTTACATTCTGTTACACTGATTGCGTCAGGTCAATCCTGAACGGCGGATCAATAACCAGCGGACACAACAGGGAACCGAAAAGTGACGGTTTAATGTGGCAGTTCCGTATGTTTCGCAAAAGTCACCGCAAAGTGCCTTCGTCCCATTGCTGTGCGGGTCTGAGAGCCAAACCCAAGTATCCGTTTAGGGTTCAAAATGAGAATCCCCAAGATGATGCGGAATCTTTAGGCTGTTTCATTGTTTGTCCGGTTTTACTTCGTTCTTGAATTATGTTCAGTATGGCCGTAAAATGTTCCACAGCGCAGGATTTTTGATGGAGTCAAAGGCCGCTACGATGTCCAAAACCACGGCGATATTTTGTCGTCCATGTGTGGCGGTGTTTAAGCAGCCAACGAAGGGTAAAGATTTGGTTTACGCCACCACGGCATACACAAAACCCGGCTTACTATTCATGAATCGTTTTTCGCGAAATGGTTTGCATAATAAAACGGACGCGAACAGCTTCGGCGCCATTGGAACTGGACTCATGTTTGGCAAGCTCTCTCACGAGAGCTTTTTTAACATCTGCAAAGAGGGCCGGCGGAAGGTTGTCCGATCCAGACGACTTACCAGGGTTTGGAGTTCCTTTCTGACCTCCGCATCTGTGGCAGTTGTAGTACGTAAGCAGCAGTAAGTCGCAGTAAGCTACCGTTGGTGTGGCTCAGTTCAAAATTGCAGGTCCTGTTGGACCATTTGCGTTAAGTCTGATCACGCATAAGTTTTGATGCAGTTCACTGACTGACCGGCGAAAAATCAGCTCGCCATCGACTATCTGTTCCAGCAGTTGATGCACGCTTGAATCAGAATTAGCGCATGAGCTAAATGCGCCTCAACGTGATGATGTAGATGAGCAGTGGGATCAGATTAGGCGAGCAATGCATTCCGCAGTGAATGTTGCTTGTGGGTCTGAGCCTCAAACCCGTCGGAGACATTGGATATCTCAGGAGAGAAAAAAACGATAGATCCCAACCTGCCAGGATCAGAACAGAGTTAGGTGGCAGCTACAACGTCGGTTCACAAAGAGCCTCAAGAAGAACCGTGAGAACTGGTGGGCGACAATAGTTAGTGAAATGGAAGCAGCAGCTGCATCAGGGAATAGTCAAAGACTGTTCCGACTGATACGCAATACCGGAGGTCGGCGAACTCCATTTAGTGAAACAGTCTACGATAAGATGAGACATGCCATTCACAATAGGGATTAACGACCTGATCGCTGAGCATAATACTTCAGCGAACAGTTAAGCTGACCTGTCGCCAACCTGGTTGCTTCATCTCCGACTGAAGCTCCGTGGGCAGTGTCATGCGATCCTCCAGCAGAAGTAGAAGTTCGGTCCTGTATCCAAGCTCTGAAGCGAGGCAAGGCAGCAGGACCGGATGAGCTCCCTCCCACTCTTTTCAAGATGGGAGGTGATAACCTCGTAATTTCTATTACTACCCTACTATGCAACACTTGGACGCAAGAACAAATTCCTTCTTCTTGGGGCGAATCATTGATCGTTCCCATTTTCAAGAAAGGATCCCGCAACGATTGCGAAAACCAACGCGGGGTAAGTTTAATACTCTATCGTTACCGAAGTTGGCACTTCGGTTATACTTTGACGTCTGACACCTTTAAAAGAGACCACCATCGGTGAACAGAAAGCCGGATACCGGCCTGTCCGTGGATGTATTGATCAATTTTTTACGTTGCGTCAGATCCTTCAGTTGCGTCTCACCCACCTTCGGTCAACGATCGAAGTATTTCTTGACGTGAAAGGAGCGTTCGACTCGGTTCACCGTGAAGCTCTGACGGGTTCCCTTCTTCGAAAAAGAATGTCTCAGAAGTGCGTTAACCTACTCAGGTCACTCTATTCACATACCTATGATGGAATGAGGGTTTACAACTGAGTAGGCCGTTCGTCACGAGCAGCGGCATTCGTCAAGGATGCGCTCTTTCACCGTTCCTGATTAACTTCGTCGTAGACGAAATTCTGGAGAACGCACTAAATGGACTCCAAAAAGTAGGCATTGAATGGGCAGCTGTGTGATGTGGAGTACACCGATGACATCGTCTGTCTGTTCGAATGTATGAGGGACGTGCAAAGCGCACTTGATAGACTAACAAGTACTGTTGCCACATCCGGTATATGCTTTGCATCTTCAAAGTGCAAGGTGATGCTGCAAGACTGAATTTCTGGCGCAGTGGTTTAGTTGTTGTCACCGGCGTGCTTTGGACCCTATGGTCCAAGGTTCGAGCACCCCCACCGCCATCCGACTTTGGTGGTAGGCAGCTCCGCTGTCATCTGGTTCAATATCACACCTAACCTATCGGGGCCTTGTGGTTTGCCACTCCAAGTCCCGGGGCTTCGGTTTACGGTGTCCACCACTGAACTGTAGGTCCTCGTGACTATGGGGTGCGCCTCATCTGTTGTTCATCACACTTAGGTGTGTAATGAAAAAAATATAAAAATCCTGCTTTAAAACCAAATAGCCAGGAATTAGTTGTGGTGGATTACTTTTCTTACTCAGGTACTTGCGTGACCAATGACGGTAGCGCAGCAAAAGAGATAACCGCTCACAGTTCCAAGGCTCGGGCAGCATACACGGGAAAGAAGCGCAAAGTTCCACTGAAGTTGAAAGGTCGTGTATATTGTGCTAGCGTTCGTTCAGTCCTGCTTTATGATTGAGACCCTGAATTTGCGAGTAGAAGATATCCGTCGACCAGAAGTTTTCGATTATCGGTATTTACTCAGTTTAGCCCATGTGGGATGGAGCGAACGGGTTAGTAACGTGGAGGTAAGCCGTCGTGTGTTTGGGAGTCTGTCAGGCATAAACCTGCTAGCATACCGAATTCAGATTACTAGGCTTCGGTGGCTAGGGCACGTATTGCGTATGCCCAGCCATCGTCTGCCGCACCGCGCTTTATTCGCTGTAGCCGCTCCGGACTGGAGGAAACCATGTGGAGGTCAACAGATGACATGGAGACGAAGCATGAAGAAATGCATAGAGCCACTAGGTAAAGTAGGTATCTCGCGCCATCCAGATTGGGGGCCGAAAGATTCAACAATCGGTTGGTTGGAGACATTGAAGGCTGTGGCAGCGAGCCGACAGCAGGGACGTTCTTGATGTCGTTTCTAATCAGATCAGAATGCTTGAAACGGTATGGATGCAGAGTTCGATCGTGCACTCTTTGTGTGTTGACCATTGTGGTTCACCTTTTCCTCCTCCCTCAAAATAGGTCCAATTCCTGCCCACCTTAAATTTTACCACTAACCTCGTATGCATTGCGAGTTCGGCAGCGATCAGTGAAGTTCGCCTCACCGTATTAGGCTGTACGAAGATGATGATTTGCTCGATGCTGTGCCTTTTATGTCCGCGTTGGCTCATTTTCGGATTCCTATTCAAATATAAAAACGTAAGCACTGCGGCTGGCAAGCAGCATTTAGTTGCACACTCCAATGACTGTGCCCTCTTTGGTCAGCATGAACATTAGGTCGCATTTTGGAAAGACGACGAATCTAACGTGAACCTCGATTCACGCACCCGCCACAACACGTTTTTTTGTATTCAAGAATCCTAGCTACAGCAAAATATTGAGAGCTCATTAGTTAGAACCAATGGTTTCAAATACTTCCGTAAAGGCAGAAAGCACTGTAAGACGAAAACAGGTGGGGTGATCACCCATATAAATCTTTCCGGTGTAGCAAGTCTGAAATCCTTTTTGCTTATTCTGCCAATGGTATCGACTGTTTAGCCATTCAGTTCTCCCCTAGGTTTTTGTGATGCAGAACCACAATGAATATTAATTCGTACGCAGCCTACGTTTTTACCCAGTCTCACATTTCATTCCTCTTTGGTGCATTTATACCGTGTTTTCCCCCTGATAGACCATAGTCTCCACATTGCTGCTGGTGACTTCAATTACGCATCCACTTATCCTATAACCTCTTTTGGCCTAACTGATACGTTACTAACTGGGCTCTAATCGGCCAATCAGACATTTGTATTATGATCACCTTATACATGTAAACGCCTGATGCGATAAATCGAAAAGAAATTTCTTCGCGAATACCGTTTTCAACATTAACTGTTATTAACCTATCCTTTACAAGAGATGATTCATTTTTAGACAAGGTAATGACTAATCGACCGAAACATTTTGCCCTAAAACTCACAGCACTTGTTTCCACTAGTGATTATGTTTTGATTCTCATAAGACCCAGTGTACTCCCGTCCCATTCACAATACACTCACATGAATCAACCCAATCAATATTCGCCCTCGCAATCTCTCCCCCAAGAAACATTTTTCTTCTCAAGCATTT